GTGAGAGGGGACAAAAACTCCTCACTGGAGTCACACTTACTCTGTGCGAGCTTAGTGAGAGGGGAAACAAACTCCTCACTGGAGTCGGAGCTGGTACTGCTGACATCCAATACCACATCCTTCTCTGGGTCTGATTTGATGAAGTTTCTGCACTGGAATGTTAGATGACCAGCTAGAAAAGATATGAAGATAATTGAAGATAAAGTAAGAAATATTGAAGCAATGCATCACAAACTATTAGCCAATCTGGTCTGAGGATATATGATCAGAACTTGATTGACGTTAATGGTTGATAAAATCCTTTCAGATAGTATATATAGGTGCCAACCTTTTACTGAATTCTTTCTGGTACCAAAGTTCATGAAGTTTGATGAGATTAGAAATAGTGAATTTGTGGAACAAAAATGAAACTGTTGACAAACAGATGACCAGACAGCTGATGTCCATCACAACCATAGCTGTGGATATGTCTGAACTCTCTGCCTTATACCTTCACAATTAATCAAAATGCAACTTTGTACCAACAGTAACCACAGCATGTCCATTCATAGTCTCTTTGGAAAAGTTGCACACTGCGTTTGGTGCATACTTCAATTAACGTTTCCTTGTATACCAGAGCATGTCCACATGCTTACTTTCCATACACAGATGAGAAGGTTATTTAAATTTAACTCTGTCAATGTTCCAGGCAATGATAATTTCAAACCAATTTCGGCAATAGGGGTTATTTCATCAATATGATTCCATTTTTGTGAGTCGAAAATATAGCAAAATCACACAGAACAAAAAAATGTTTTTTCGCAAAGTGTGTGTAAAAAGCCATGAGTTCTGTATTTTTTGTTTGACTTTATGGGGAACATCATGTTTAATCATGTGAATTTAAAATCGTTGACAAACCCTATATATGTATACCCTGTTGTGAAAGACTGTTCCTTTTAAGCTACATATACTGTAGCTATAGTGTATCAGTATTAAATCAGCATTTATATCAGATATACACAAAAAAAAATCATATAATTTCGTATCAAAGGTAGTGCCCAATTTTTTCAAAGAGCTTCTGTGGAGGACGTTCTGACTTTCTGACCTCCCGATAAAACTAAAAGAACAAAAATGCTGATCACAGTTAGTTATTTCAGACTATTAGGTTTGACCTGCATAATATTGTATTTTATGAATTATTCAAAGTTGCTAGATTAATTACCATATCCACACTTTCTGCATGCAGCTCTGTTGCCATCATTGGTTTTACTGGTGAGCTTTGAAACCAGGCCTGTCAAACAAAATAACTGTAATTAATATAAGTAATCAAACTCCAACTTATATTACTCCCCATGCCATTACAACCAACATTAAGCCGGATATACCTGTCATAAACTTGTTCATGTAGATGTAGGTGTACAGGCTTAGTCTTGTTAAAGCATATTGCTTTTCCTAAAACAGTGGACATTTTATAACACGAAATAATTTGTTTTTATGTACCGAAATGTAGGGAAAGAACTGAACTTTACTGTACATGTACATGTCTACCGACATTGAAACAGGAGCAAAAATGTGTTTGAATCAATATTTTTATGGAAAGACCGCGTAGAAAATACTTGATTCGTATCATTATCCAATCAGTTCCATACATACCATGAATATCCTGCATCCTGTACAGTAGCTGTACCACTATTCTGAAGCACGTTTGTGATTAGGACTATCGTGTCCCCAAAACGTTTCAGGCAAACGTAGCGATAACATTTCACATATGTGTGGATTTACCGCGTAACAATGAGTCAGGTTGTCACTTACTTTTAACTTTAGTACTTTATAGACATTATCTTTTTAATTTGGTGTAAAATAGTTTTATCTAAAATGTTTTTATTAGCATCATATTTTCCTGTGTTTATCGGCTATATAAATGAAACTGAAAATAAGAAAGATGGCAGCTTCCATGGTTTGATTTCAGAACGTGTACATTTTGGATCGTGTAAAGAAAAATAATGAGTAATATTTATATTCAAGAACCACCAACAGATGGAAAGGTAGGTCCATTTTAATAATAAATAGTCTTATATGAAAATAAATAAAGAGGACGTTACACAGCAAATGAATTACACTGATATTGTTGATCAGAAAGCTGCTTACTTAAATTTTTAAGTGTCCAACGGGTACCTCCAACTTACTTGCTGGTTGTGACATGCTACTGCATATGTTTGTGTGCTCTGTTTTGCTATAGAACAGTGGTATCATTAAGTAATAGCGTTTTTGAATATCAGATAAATGGCATATCACAGTGTAGCCATTGTATTAATATTTAACAGGTTGGGCACAACGGCACATATGGGTAATAGTCCTGCATTCGGCTAACAGTTATTCATTTCAGTAATTATTTTATTTTATTACCCATATGCCCAACCTGTTTAATTGTTTCCAACCCAGATCATGTATTGTACTCTGAACCGAGTCACCGAGCAGCTATATAATAAGTAAGTTTAAGTATCTTGCTCAAGGCTACAATATAGCCTTGCTCAAAATAATATATATTATATCAATCCCATGCCTTGTAATTAATTGAGCAAGCTTGGTGTGAATCACACTGGAGTGATTTTAGCATTGATTGACACAGCACATGGGTCCACATCCATACACTGGTTTGTAATATAACCTTTTTCTGTTGATTTCCCATATGTAACTTGAAGTTAAATTCTGCCAGAAAATTTCCATTAAATCATAAAATTTTCGTAGCCAGGGCATCAAAAACTGGATTGACCACCATGATGGAAACTTTGTCTCCCTTCCAATATAGGTCAGACGTCTATATATGGGTGGCATATATATATATGACCCAATATGGCAATTGTAGTAAACATGGCGGCACCTGAGTATAGTAGTACTATATTTGGCCATGTAGGCCTTATATATACATGAAGAAACGATCTTCAGAAGCTATGTTTTTGCAGCTATCAGAAAGTAAGATATTGGGATGACCCATCTTGAAGAGGCCTCAGTTCCCATTAAACTAAAGGACCAAACTTCCGGAGGTAGACTATACTGGCCTCGAACCACAGACTCAAAAATCACCTGCCCATCATCAGTAGCACAACACACTTTCCACTGCACTACAGACTTCCCAGTTGCATTACATTGTAAGGCTGTTGTCACATGGATCTGGCCTATGAAATACTTGTACAGCATTAGTAAGGCAATCGACCATCATGTTGACTGGTTAATCGAAGCAGAAGATTTCCTGCTGTATTTTGAAAAATTAATGTATACCAGGAAAACTTTGCCTGGTTAAACTATCGCCCTTGACCAGTAAAATCCATATTTGCTGTGTTTTGATTTTGCCCCTTACATTTGCTTACTGTATATATTTTGTAGTGTACTAATGTTTACGGTAGGATAAATATGACCTCCTTATGGGGGCGAAAATGAAACTTCAGCGAACATTTCCCAGGATATAGTATAATTACAAGTGTTTTAAGTTAATTAAGCAATATCATCTCACAAAAACTATTGGCATGTTGTAACTGTACTGTACTATATCCTACACTCTTGATATTGGTGGGATGGTTTTGTTTTCCTTATGAACCAAACCGAATCATCTCACCATACATGTATATCCATCAATATTACACACATATATAAAAGGCACATCCTTAGCGGTAAAAGGGATGCTTTACCTAATCATTAAGGGTTTGAATTATATGCAATTAATTGGCACATCCGTTTTATATCGGACTGGAATGTCATGCCAAACATATTTGATAATAGTAACATGTGAATAGCTGCTTCATATACATATGATATATAGCAGTTCATGTGGTAAGTATAATTGCAAACAAATATTTGAGAAAAATGTTTTCCATTTGAACTTTGCAGTTGAGGTCTTGTTGAATTGTATATATACCTGGTCATGATCATCAAGTGATTCTGCTTTAGCACATCTGTAAATGTCGTTCTTAGGTAGTCCTTATGTACATCACATTAAATAAAAACCTTCAATTGCAAAAGCGTATTCATGAACATGTGCCTGTATATGTAATGTCTATATATGATTTCTAAAGTCTGTTGCCAAATATTGATGTAGCTGATATAATTGTAGGTGTTGTTGGTTACCGGGGTCGGTGAAATTGACATCGAGCTGTGGTCCCGGGAAGCTCCGAAGGCCTGTCGTAATTTTGTACAGCTATGTTTGGAAGGATACTACAACGGTACCATCTTCCATCGTGTGGTGAAGGACTTCATAATACAAGGGGGAGACCCAACGGGGACCGGAGAAGGGGGTGAATCTATCTATGGAGCACCCTTTAAGGTAATCAGATAAATACAGACAGTGGAGAAAGAAAACTTGACAAATATGAAGAAGTACTGATTCTTTTAACTGAGAAAATATCAACACCAATACTAGCCCAATTTTACTCTGACACCAGACTTTAGACCTTTTGACAGATACAAAATGTAGATTTCCTGTGTGGGAAATGTCTTAAGTCTGGTGTCAGGACCAGAGGAAACTTGGGCTACTCCAATACATAAAACATCCCACAGCATCTTACCAGAATTTGCATTAAAACATAAACTTTCAACCTTATTGTTCAAATAGGATGAAATGGTGGAATTTAATTAATTTAAAAATTGCAGAATATGTTTATATATCTGCTGTATAATTACAGGATGAGTTCCACAGCCGACTTCGCTTTGTGCGGCGTGGACTGGTAGCCATGGCAAACGCAGGCCCCAACGACAACGGCAGCCAATTTTTCTTCACCATGGCGTCCACTCCTGAACTGCAGAACAAGCATACCATATTTGGAAAGGTCAGAAAAGTGGAATCACACGGCAACATAATGGTTAAATTCACCAACTTTAATTTGGTCACAAAGTAGCTCTTTATAAAATAGATAAATGCTGTCTACCAGCCTTGGGATTGGTCATTAATTTATGCCTGGAACCAATGAAATAGCTTTATACATGCCATTGATTCTATCAAAAAAAACATACTGGTGCAGGGTCAAGATATGCAAAATATTTCATCAATGGGATCATACTTAATTTAACAGTTTTTGACAATGGATTTATTTGAAAAAAAACCCAATAAGTGTCTTGTTAAAATTATGTAAAAAATAGAACAGTTTGAATGGTTATAATTTATATGCCATGAAGTTCTCTGAAATAAGGCATAATGATATTTGTGGAAGGCAGAGTGATGGCCATTGGGTATTGATGTTGTTTTGAGGCATTTTGCTTCAAATGATGAATAGTAATGTAGAACAGTTCATTGTGACAATTTATTGTGACTGCATTAATTTCCAGGTCGGTGGAGATACCATTTATAATGTGATACGACTTCAGGATGTTGATATTGACAGCAACGATCGCCCCACATACCCACTCAAGATCAAACACACCAAGGTACCATGCATTGACATTTGCATTTACATCAGTAACACCCATTGCACAACAAAACTGTCATTTTAATTTGAAATATTGTTATCTATAGCCATTCTCTCTCACTCTTTCATAGTTGTAAGTTCTGGTACATTTACTTGCCTTATTACCTCCCTTCAGGTGCTCTCTAATCCATTTGATGACATTGTGCCCAGACTGAAGACGATTGAATCTGAGGAAAGTGATTCAAAGTCGAAAAACAAGTCGAAGGGAACAAAGTGAGTAGAAACATACAATCCTAAAGGTGCCTTGTTTTTGGGCTAATCTCAGGAATGAGAGCGTAACTGTGGTTTGTACTTTTTATCGTCGCCACGAAGTAGCAGAAGTGAGACTAAGGTGGTGCTTTTCTGGTGGCGGCGTCAACATTAAGTTTTTGCGTTTAGGACTTTATCAGCATCTCCATCAAGATTAAGTTTTTGCATTTTAGTTAGTTTCTCTGATACAAGTATGTGCATTGATGGTCAAAGTGCGGCACAGGCGAGACATATTAATCCGAACGGCTTGTTCCATTTCGAGTTGAGATGATTATTTTAGATTGTAACCAAGAGTTTTTGCCAAGTATCAAAAATCTGCCACAAATCAACAAGATTAGAAAAGTGTTTAATAATAACATACTGTCATAAATGTGATACGCTATTCCTAAAATAACACAAAAAGCTGAAGACGGACTTTACCTTACTTGCACATAATAAAAAACAATTAAGAAAACTAACTCCACTAGTAATTGCTAGAATAAGAAATTGTTTTTGTTGAGATTAAAAATTATTGAAGAAACCTACCAGGTATTTATGTCGGTCATAACCTAGAATAGGGAAAATATTTTGGTTAAGATATTCACAGGATTGATTCCATTGGTGTCTGTCTATCTAGGAACTACAGTCTTTTATCATTTGGTGAGGAAGCTGAGGAGGATGAGGAAGAAGTCTCTATGGCAGTCAAGGTAACACCTTACTACCGGGTTTAACTTTTTTATATATGCCCGTTGAAAGACGAGATGCATTATGTTATCATGTGGGCATGTGGGTGGGTGTGCAGGCACGCACAGTGTCTGCTTGTTATCTCCAGTAAATTTCAGCGGATTAACTTCAAACTTCATATGAAGGTTAATTACCATGAGAGCCCAGAAGAGTTTGATAACCACTGTATCCGATATTAATTTACGGAGTTATGCCCCCTAGAATCAGTGTAGTGAGTACAATAACAATTATCTGACCGTAATTAATAGACTTATTCCCCTTGGTTTCATTAATGCAATACTTCATGCATTCCGTGATGTTTTGTTGTACTCATTGATGTACCAGGTATTTTGAATTTTTTCTCCTTTAACATCAATTACTCACAAATATTTCATTTATATTAAGGCTCATTCAATGTGTGACGGGCGTTTTATGTACCGTTTCCCAGTATTCTTGTTTGTTTATATGACACAGGATATGAAAGGCAAAAGTAAGAGTAGCCATGACCTTACAGATGACCCTAAGTTGAGTTCACAGCCTGCTGTATCGTCAGAGGATAAAAAGAGGAAGATGGACAGTGATGATGACAGTGAGGAGGAGGTTAGTACATGTTCACTAAAATATAATACAAGTCCTTGCTCATAGATAAGTCATCTTTGTCCCGTCTCTGGAAAATCAAACCTATTGGAAGCTGAGATTACTAGGTCACGTGGGATTTGTTAGTACTTATTTCTGGGGTTTGTCATCACTTTACATAGCTCGTCAATGAAGACTGTGATATCATTGATGAAGACTGTTGTGATATCATTGTCACATTGATGAAGACTGTTGGTGATATCATTGATGAAGACTGTT